CAGTAATGACAGAGCATGCGCTGTTACGCAAAAACCGCGATAGAGTGAAGCCGCGGAAGTCGAAGCGCGAAGTGGCGAGGGTTCACTGTATTACAGACTCCACAGACGTCAGCTGCTTTAACATATAGAAAGCCATCACAGAGAGCATTGTGGTGACCGACTGATGCATGATCATAATATGCCAAATCCCCGTCTGCCACTTTTATACGCCCACCTCTGCTTGAGAGCAGCCAAGGTGAAGGCAGAGAAAAAAATTTTGTGGGTGTCTTACTTTTTAGAAGGTTAGCTAGGGAGACATTCGGACACCTTAGGGCACAAGTAAAATGATCTTTAGAGGCAAGGATGGTGACACTTTGTCCCATATCCTTTGGACATGTTGTCAGGCGAGACCGGTCCCTGGAGAAGGACGTCATACTTGGTCAAGTACTGGGACAGCCCAAAAGAGGAAGACATTTGACAAGATGAACTGACCCAGTGGTTGCATCGATGGCCCACAAATAAGAGCAATGGTGAGGATGACGCAGGACCAGGCTGTGTTGCTATGGAAACACAGACCCCAAACTAAGGTGACAGGAGAGAGAGAGGAGCCTCTTTCTCTCTAGTGCATCCACCAACAAGTGATGGTCCAAAGCAGGCAAGCCCCATTGAGGGTTCCTCCCCATCACTCGTGACAGATCAGGGGGCTGAAATTGGGTTGCCACCATCTTACTCTCCCTCTATCCCATTGCAAGGAGAAGATGGCGACCGAAGGAGATGCCATTCCTTTTTAAATGGCAAGACCCAGACGCACACATGCTTCCAATCACGCCTTGTCCGTCAGATCCTGCTCTCAGGGCCACCCATCAGAGAAAGTGAGTCTAGAAAATACAACTCTAGCTAGATGACCATGTGCTAAGCAAAAAAGTGATTCCTTCTACTGCCAAAGAGAGAAGGAAGGCATTCTTAGAGGGACCAATTAGCAATCTTCGACGGATTTCATCGTGGTAAGGATGAGTATTTCATTGATGCTAAAACACTGCTGTTCTAAGACGCGGCATCATTTTGTGTACCGCGAAGTAAGGAAGACCATGCTGTCTAAACGGTGACACTTTGCACCCTTACATTGCGATGGTAGGACACCAATTCATGAAATATTAAAACGGGGGGAAGCGTGTCTTGACACAGAAGATAGAGACTGAAGGAAAGTCTTAAGAATACTTGATTACTCCGGTGAAGGGAGACGTCGGACAGTGTAAGATATGACAAAGTATAATAGTAATTTATGAATTATCCAGGGTTCACGAGGGAGGGGGCAGTGGGGAGGGAGGGTAAAATGAGGAGCTGATACCAGGGGCTTGGGTGGAAAGCAAATGTTTTGAGAATGATGATGGCAACAAATGTACAAATGTGCTTGACACAATGGATGGATGGATGGATTGTGGTAAGAGTTGTATGAGCCCCCAATAGAATGATTAAATAATTTTTAAAAAAAAAGAATACTTGAGCCTTTCTCTGCGGAATCACCATGGCGACTGGGACCCTGTACACATATCCAGAAAACTGGCGGGCCTGCAAGGCCCTCATCGCTGCTCAGTACAGTGGGGCTCAGATCCGAGTGCTCTCCATGCCACCCCACTTCCACTTTGGCCAAACCAACCGCACCCCCGCATTTCTCCGCAAATTCCCTGCTGGCAAGGTCCCAGCGTTTGAAGGTGAGGATGGATTCTGTGTGTTTGAAAGCAATGCCATGTGAGCAATGAGGAGCTATGGGGAAGAACCCCCGAGGCAGCAGCCCAGGTGGTGCAGTGGGTGAGCTTCGCAGACAGCAACATAGTCCCCCCAGCCAGTACCTGGGTGTTCCCCACGTTGGCCGTCATGCATCACAACAAGCAGGCCACCGCGAACGCCAAGGAGGAGGTACGGCCAATTCTGGGCCTGCTGGATGCTCACTTGAAAACCAGGACTTTCCTGGTGGGTGACCGAGTGACCCTGGCTGACATCGCAGTCGTCTGCACCCTCTTGTGGCTCTACAACAGGCCCTTGAGCCTTCTTTCCGCCAGGCCTTCCCCAATACCAACCGCTGGCTCCTCACCTGCATTCACCAGCCCCAGTTCCGGGCCGTCTTGGGGAAGGTGAAGCTCTGGGAGAAGTTGGCACAGGTTGACGCTAAAAAGTTTGCTGAGATCCAGCCTAAGAATGACGCCCCGTGGAAGGAGAAGGCGCCCCGGGAGGATAAGCAGAAGGCCCAGGTGGAGTGGAAAGAAGAGAAGAAGGCCACGGCTCCTGCCCCTGAGGAGGAGATGGAGGAATGCAAACAGGTGCTGGCCGCTGAGCCCAAGGCCAAGAGGCCCCTTTGCTCACCTGCCCAAGAGTCCCTTCATGCTGGACGAGGTGAAGCACAAGTACTCCAACGAGGACAACCTCTCGGTGGCGCTGTCGCATTTCTGGTCCCTGTGGTATGCCGAGTACCACTTCCCCGAGGAGCTGAGCCAGACACTCGTGAGCTGCAACCTCATCACTGGAATGTTCCATGGATTGGACAAGCTGCGGAAGAATGCCTTCGCCAACGTTATCCTCTTCGGAACCAACAAGAGCAGCTCCATTTCGGGGGTTTGGGTCTTCAGAGCCCAAGAGCTTATCTTTCCACTGAGTCCAGATTGGCAGGTGGACTATGAGTCGTGCACATGGCGGAAACTGGATCCCGGCAGTGAGGAGACACAGACGCTGGTCCAAGAGTACTTCTCCTGGGAGGGGGCCTTCCAGCACGTGGGCAAAGCCCTCAGCCAGGGCAAGATCTTCAAGTGAACGGCCTGTCGGTGGCCCACCGCCTGCACCTGTCCTGTGGGGTCATTAAAGGAAGCTGAGCAGTGAAAAAAAAGAATACTTGATTACTCTAAGAAAGGCATCTAAAGTGTCTGTTTTGCAGACTGAGAGACGTTCCTTATAGCAAGCAGAGGTGTGGGTAACAAGCTTTGAATGGAATGCTTGGAAGGCATCAATGCGAATTTGCTGATAAAACCGAAAACCAAAGTCACTGTTCGATTAGTCTGGGCTCGGAGCCAGGTCTGCACTTGAGTGACCAGACAGAAAGGGTCCCGTCCTCCTAGGCCAAGGGTCTCATGCATAGGACAGAACTGAAGCAGATTTCTGAGCACCAGGTGTGGCTAGACTCTTGGTTTCTTGCTTCTATGTTCAGCCATTAACCAAACACATGGTCCCTTCCCACATAGACACCCCACCCCCACCAGTGGTAAGTGGTTATGTATTGGGCTGTTAACCGAAAGTTCAGCAGTTCAAATCCACTCTCCGTTTTGAGGGAGAAAGACAAGAGTTACAATCTCAGGGATCCATAGGGATAATTTCATACTTTCCTATAGGGTCACTATGTGTCCTTATTCACTTGATGGCAGTGAGTTTTGAGTTTGGTCCCCCCCCCCCTTAAAAATAGCTCCATGGCACCTGGAGCAGAATGATAGGTAACGTATGAGGGAATGGAGTTATATAGGTGCTACCAACAAACAACACATTGCATTAGGTAAATCTGCTGCACAAGACCTCTTTAAAAGTTTGAAAAGCAAGGATGTTACTTTGAGGACTAAGGTGCATGTGACCAAAGCCATGGTATTTTCAGTTGCTTCATACGCGTGTGAAAGTTAGGCACTGAATAAAGAATACTGATGAAAAATCAATGCATTCGAGTTATGGTGTTGGTGAAGAATATTGAACGGACCATGGACCGGCAAAAAGACCCAACAGATCCATCTTGGAAGAAATACAGCCAGATTGCGTCTTAGAAACAAGGGTGCCAAGAGTTCCTCTTACAGACTTTGGACGTGTTGTCCGGAGAGCCATCCCTGGAGAAGGCCATCGTGCCTGGTAAAGTCGAAAGAGAGGAAGGCCTTCCACGAGACGGACGGACACAGAAGCGGCCACAATGGGCTCGAGCATAAGAACAATTGCAAGGGTGGCGCAGGGTCAGGGAGTGTCTGATTCTGTTGGACATCGGGCCACTATGAGTCAGAGCCAACTTGCTGGCACCGAAACAACAACGGCAGATGTCGGTTCGGTGGAGGCTCAGCTCGGGAAGGCCCATTCTATCCGAGGTTCGGAAAGGCCTCCTGTTGTTAGTTGTCGAGGGCTTGATTCCCACACACGCAGAGGGGCGCTGTGCTCTGCGGGGCTTTCCAGCAGCATATCACTACGTCTGTCTTCAGAAGCACTACTGGGTGGGTTCAAACTACTCCCAATCATGAGCTAGTAGGCAAACACTGAGCTGTTTGCACCACCCAGGGATTCCCACAGCCCTCTTTGAGAAGGTGGATTCAGGACTGGGGTAGCCAAAGGGCCTTCCAAGCAGAAGTAACAGAAGATGCCGGGGTTTGGGAAGGTGAAACAGGTTGCTTCAGGAAGTTCTGTTAGGGTCCCTTTGGACAGTTGTCTCCCCACTTCTAGACTAGGAGCAGCTTAGGGTGTGCTGGAGGGTCTGCTGGGCTTCTTTGTTTTCTGTTTACTGCCTTATACATAACAAGCAAACAAGAAATATTTGCTGGCTTGAGTTCAAGGTAAGTCCAACTGCTTGGATGACCAAATAGCAATGAGCTGACATTTTCTGGATCAAAATGATGCTTTGTTATTGTTGTTGTTTTTGTTGCTGTTGTTGTTGTTAGATGCTAGCCAGTCAGTTATGACTCATGGTGACCCCTTGTACAACAGAACAGTCTTGGGCCATCTTCAGAATGGTTGTTAGGCCACTTCATCGACTACAACAGTCTTCCTGGACAGTCTTCTCCTTTTTCGCTGATCCTCTGCTTTACCAAACATGCTGTCTTGTTCCAGGGACTGGTCCATCCTGGTAAGATGTCCAAAGTACATGAGACAAAGTCTTTCCTTCTTTGCCTCCAAAGAGCATTCTGGCTGTGCTTCTGCCAAGACAGATGTGTTCATCCTTCTGTGGTGTGGTCTATATTTTCCCTCACACCCTAATTGAAATGAGTCGATTCTTCTTCAACCTTCCTTCGTCATTGTTCAGCTATCACGTGCATATGAGGCGATTGAAAAGACCATGGCTTGGGTCAGACACATGGTAGTAATCAAAGGGACAAACTTGCTCTTTAACATTTTAAATAGATCTTTGGTAGTAGATTTGCTCAATGCGATTTGCTGTTCAATATCTTGATGACTTCCATCAGCAGGGCACCCTGGTGGGGTAGCGGGCCACATGTTGAACTGCGAATCCCAAGGACAGCCGTTCTATCTCACCAATTGCATGAAGGGGGAGAGATGGCGCTTTCTGCTCCCGCAAAGATGCACAGCCTCAGAAGCCCAAAGGGCAGTTCTGCTCCATCCTATCAGGCGGTTATGAGTCAGAATCTACTCAATGGCAGTAGATTTGCAGCTTGTTTTTGTTTGGGCTTCCTCGAGAATTGAGGGTGGATCCAAGTAAAATGAAATCCTTGACATTTTCAGTCGCGTCCCCATTGATCAGGATGTTGTCTGTCGGTCCAGTTGTGAGGAGTTTGAGCTTCTTTACCTTGGGTTGTCATCCATTGGGAGGCTGTCATCTTTGATCTGCATCAAGTGCTTCGAGTCCCCTTTGCTTTCAGCAAGCAAGGTGGTGTCACCTGCCGATCACAGGTTGTTCTTCAGTCTTCCTCCATCCCTGATGCCACATTCTTCGTCATGTAGGTCAGCTTCTCAGACTGTTTGCTCAGCATGCAGACTGAATAAATATGGACCACGATACGGTCCTGATGCACTCATTCCCTGATTTTAAAGCATGCAGTATCCCGTTGTTTTGTGAATGAACATCTCTTTGTGTGTGGGCAGGTTCCACATGGGCACACATTAAGTGCTCCTGAAACCCCACCCTTTGTAATGCTTTCTGCACAAAAGGATTCAGTCAGTGAACTGAAGCAAGATGATACCTGTGGTGTTTGCTCTTGGGCTTAGCATGGATATTGCCATTGGCTGCCGTAGATTCAGCACCAGACTCTAGGCAGTCCAGGCACGACTGAAGGAAACACTGACTGGTTCTGCTTCATCTCCAGGACCATCTCCAGTGGGATGCAAATTGCACTGTTGTGATTCATTAACCGCTTTTGTGAAATAGATGACCTAGCCTATGTTAGCCTGGAGGGTCTGTCGAAACCAGGTCAACCTCATAACAGTAGGCAGAGCTCCACTGACAGATAGGTGGTGGCTTAATAGGAAGGGTATTGGTTAGGAATTAAACCTAAGTCTTGTGCAAGGAGCATGAGAAGCCATCGGTGCCCTGGGACTTAGCATTACCGTATCTTAATTGTCTAAGTAAGGTTTGAAGATGGTAGTATATGAAGGAGCCCTTGTTTGCCTTCCTCCTTTGTCATCTGCTCTTAGTCTCCACTGCAACCTACTCACGTTGGGTGACCCTGCTGGCATTTGAAATACCAGTGACCTAGCTTCCGGTGCCATAGCAACACACAAGCCACCACACTATGCCAAACTGACATGTGGTCTGGAGAAAGACCTTATGCTTGGTAAAGTGGAGAGGGAGGAAGACCCCCTACAAGATGGACGGACACAGTGGCTGCAACCATGGACTGGGGCAGAGGAACCACTGTGAGCCTGGCACAGGGCCAGGTAGGGTTTCCTTCTGTTGTGCGTAAGGTCGCTAGGGGTTAGAACAGACCTGATGGCACCTAACGACAACAACATATAAAGAAACATTGGTTTGGATCCCCCGGCATTAGCCACTCTTCCTCTCATTCCCCCCGCTCCCATTTGAATGAATACATAAGCACGTTTGAGTCCAGAGCACACCTTGCTTTCCTGGTTTTCTCCAAGCAGTTGAGCAGGGTCTTGATATAATCCAAGGATTCATTCTCAGGGCGGCAACATCCTGGTGAATTCAACCTGTGGAAAAGGCTGAGGGTTGAGGCTTCTCAGGGGTGCCCAATGCAACAGGAAGGAGCCTGGCCTGTCAGTAAGCTCATTTGACTCAGTAGCCTTGAATCCAGTTCTTGACCCATCTGTCATATTGCAGATACATGTGGCTGGGTATTGCTGCTGATAAATGCTTTTCTCATTCATAGATCACTGTGACAGATGAAGAAGTTAGCAACCCATCCTTTGTAGACCTGGTGAGAACGCCTCAAATGAGGAAGTGCACACTGATCCTTATGTTTGCTTGGTAAGTCTGGGTCGTGTTGGATTTTGAGGCTCCTGTCACATTTCCACGACTCCCCTTTGCTTCCTGTTGGGTTGAATTTACCTCTCCCTTGTTCTTTTCTGGTGTCTCCCAACGTCCCTGCAGGTTCACAAGTGCGGTGGTGTACCAAGGACTGGTCATGCGCCTGGGGATTATAGGTGGCAACCTCTACATAGATTTTTTCATCTCAGGAGTCGTGGAGCTGCCTGGAGCTCTCTTGATTTTACTGACCATTGAGCGATTCGGACGCCGCCTCCCCTTTGCTGTGAGCAATGTAGTGGCGGGAGTGGCGTGCCTCGTCACTGCATTCTTACCAGAAGGTAATCTTCTCCAACTGCCGTTTAGCATCCAAAGAACACAACACACACACACACACACACAAAAGATAAGATAGTAGTCAAGTCTAGGAAGGATATGCCCTTAGGAAATGTATCATTACCCCACAAGCTTTAGTGATATCCTTCCAGGCTCTGTGTAATCAGTGGACCAAGAGAGTCATTCTACAGATATTTTTGCGGGGTGGGGAGTGCTCTCAATTTGTTGTGTGTTCATTGTGAGTGACGTGGATGTTGTGCTCACTCCAGCTTGGAATGCGTGGTTCCCTTGTGGAGGTAGTAGCCAACATTACAAAACAAAAGCGTGTATGAATTGTTGAATGGAAAACCAATAGTCTTTGTAAATAAAAGTTACAAGGAAAAGAAGACCCTGGGCAGTTCCTGTGTTAGAAACAAGTGCGCGGCCTGAGCGCAGCCTTCAATCAAAGTTGTCCCTCAGTCAGAAGAATCTTTCTAAGGTCAGTGAGTCAGATGTTTGTCTTAGAGCACACGACAGGAAAAAAAAAAAAAACATTTTAACCATGTCGGTGGAGGGGTTAATAGGATAGTTGTTGATTCTGCTTCTTGAGATGGGCTGTGTAAAAAATACAGTATGTTTCTTTAAAAAATGAAGAATCCTTCCAGATTCCTTATCCCTCAAACCTAAATCGTGGCTTTAGTGGCTTAAACAAAAGGGGGGGGGGCGCGGTAAAATTGAAAATGGACTTGGAGTCTTCTGTGACAAACAAGGTCATCTCAAAATGAATTAATAAGGAATACAGCATGTATGTAGTGACCCTTATCCTCATGAAAAAAAAAACATGAAAGAAACACTTCCAGTTACACTCAACACGAAACAGCCAGCTCTTAAAGTGATTGCTTTTACTTTAATCACCTTTACTGGATATTCCATTTGCGGTGTCATTGGTCGTGTTGAGCATATTCCCCGACACGTGTCAGTACGGAGGCTACAAGGACAAAGGAGGCGTCATTCTGGACTTCAAGGGGTTCACATCTACTAAGGGTGGCAGCTGTGCATCGGGTCGTAGCAGCTTCTTCCTCCAAAATGGGGAGCAACATTGTCTGTTCTTCGTCTGGAAGTTCTGCAGAAACACGTTCACTTTGGGTGACTCTACTGGCATTTGAAATACCAGTGGCACCACTTCCAGCAACACCCCAGCCAGCACAGTACGTGGAAGTAAGACAGACCAGGGCATTCCGCAGAGGCAAGAATGGCACGACTTCATCGTCCATGCTTTGGGCATGTTATCAGGAGAGACCAGTCCCTGGAGAAGGACATCGTGTTTGGTAAAAAGGAGGGGCAGCACAGAAGGGGAAGTCCCTCCACAAGTTGGCTGGACACGGTGGCTGCATCAGTGGGCTCAGGCAGAGAAGCAGGTGTGAGGGTGGTGCCGGACCGTGCAAGGTCTCGTTCTGTGTGAGTCTCTGTGGGTCAGAGCCAACTCCATGGCTCCTAATACCACAAGTGAGGCCGGTAGACACTCGGCGTGAGAGCAAGGCCATTCACATCCCTGGTCGATGCTCAGAGGGGATTCACTGGAAGCTCAATCCATGTGTGTTTCTCCTTCACTTAAAAAACGATTTCTTTAAACTGATACTAAACGTAGTCACTTCCAAGTTGCATCTTAAAACAAGAAAGAAACAGCGAGATAGACACAAACCCAGGGTCTCCCCTCAGCTCCATGCTCTCAGTTCAGTGTTCTAGCCTCCGGGATCACAAGACAATAAATGCCCTTCTGTAAAGCTGCCCCCCACTTTTTAAAATTGGGATTTGACACATCTATCATGTCATTCCATAATGTAATCACATCAAACCGTTTCGCACCACCACCGCTGCATCCCCTGCCCCGCGCCTGACACCTTTCTGCTACCTGCTGTCCCTACAGGTTCATCAGTCCTGGGTTTCATATACCGAACAACGGGGAACATATAGCACAACTTCAAGAGGGTGACCCCTCCCAATGACCTACCACATCTGAGATAAACCCTAATATGCACAACAACAGCAATCCAGAAAATGCTGACAACTAGATTAGGCCCAGGGTGCATCAGAGTGGGGAATCACGGACCAGGTTTCCACTGCCCGTTTGAGGTCGTTTTTACTGCGACAGCAGCGCTGGGAAGCAAAGACTGCAGGCACGAAGCGTGAGAGCTTGTCCCCACAGGGCCAGGTAGGAGCGGGTCCACAGGAGGCGGTAGAGCCCCGCGCCCTAAGCGCCCATCTGGGTTCATTGTGCGATAATGTTCCCGCAGAAACTGAGAAAGACAGGCTCTGGTAGACGAGCCTTGTGTGCCCACTGGCAGCCGTGGGCACTGCCCGGCGTTGAGGGGTAGCCTTGTCAGCACCACAGCACTTTGAACCCGAAGAGTCGAGATGAGGGTGGGGGGCCGGTGATAGCACACTGTGCGGCTGTGGCAGGGGTGCTGGGTGGCGGGGCATGAGTTCAGAGGTGCTCAGGAGTGAGGTTGATAGATTGGCGGACTGCACAGGGTCAGTGCCAGGCAGAGGTGGCCGACGACGCCCAACGGTGCTGTCACACACCAGTTCCTCTCTGCCACTGAGCGCAGCAGGGGCTGCTCCGGGGAGGCCTTTTCAACCCCCAGGGAGCACATGAATTCGAGCAAGTTCATTGTTTCCAGGTTCTAGGGGGTGGGAAGTGGGGGATTACTGG